GAAGCTGGAATTGAGAACACAGTTGGAACTCCAACCCAGGTACTTGGATATGGGCTGTGGGTATCCTAACCTACAGCTAACCTGCTGGACCAAAACTTTGCCCCATAGAAATTAAAGTCAAGCTTTTAACATTCTCATTTATTATCTTTTTTAATGGTGCTCTTGCTTTTCTGGTAGAGCAGCTCCTTGATATAATACATCCTTTTATTTAAAAAAAAATTGGTGTCTAGGGTGTGGCAAATTTGCCCACAGGTGAAGATGCCAGGCAGGATGCCTGGGTCCCACGTTGAATTATCAATAATAATTCAATTGATAATAATAATTATCAATAATAAGTGCTGGTTCAATATCCAACACTTGTTCCAGAACCAACTTGCTGTTCATGCAACATTGGGAGGCAGTGGTAAGAGTTCACATAGTTGGGTTCCTGTCAGTCATGTGGGAGACATGGATTGAGTTCCTGGCTCCTGGCTTTGGCATGGCCCTATCCCAGCTGTTGCAGGCATTTATGGAGTGAAGTAGAAAACAGGCACTCTTTGTCTCTGTCTCTTAAATAAATACAAGTTTAGAAAAATCTAAAAATATTGTATTTGGCACACAATGTAAAATTATTTAAGATTTCAGTCTTGATTAGAAGTATAACTACATTAAACTATTTTGAGAAACTGGACCTCAGATAAGAAGTAGAAGACTTGGGAAAGTGAAACACTAATGCTGTAAAAACACTCCTTTGTGTTTTAGATTTATTAATTTCTTTTTATTTAAAGATTTATTTATTTGAAAGTCAGAGTTACACAGAGAGAAGGAGAGGCAGAGAGAGAGAGAGAGAGTGGTCTTCCATCTGCTGGTTCACTCCCCATTTGGCTGTAACGGCCAGAGCTGTGCTGATCTGAAGCCAGGAGCCAGGAGCCTCCTCCGGGTCTCCCACACAGGTGCAGGGGCCCAAGGACTTGGGCCATCTTCTGCTTTCCCAGGCCATAGCAGAGAGCTGGATCATAAGTGGAGCAGCCAGGATTTGAACCAGCGCCCATACAGGCTGCTGGCACAGTAGGCAGAAGTTTTACCTGCTACGCCACAGTGCTGGTCCCCAATTTATTAATTTCTTACTCCTTCATGTAAATAGGATGGAGAAGCCCATAGTAGGCAAATAAGTGCTGATTTGTAGCCTTGGCTATTTATGAGTTCTCCTTTATAATCTAATATTTATAAAGGTGCTTTGGAAATTATAAAACATAACTCTCGAATTATAGGCAATTACCATTATATTAACTCTAACAAGTCATTAGAGGGTCAGCTGGTTCTATCCTTAGGGAGACAGTAAGCTCTTTAATGTTTGTTAGTGTGTATCCCAGGCAGCCAAAATGAAGCTGCAAGGAATATCTGTATTTAAGAGTAAACAACTACTACTTCACAAGGTATTTTTATAAATATAGTTTTTATAAATTATTTCATATAATATAAATACAATGAGGATGAACTGTTTCTCAGCATAAAACTTTTAGGCTTATAATCCACCATATTTATTACTCTGTTATGAAATAGTTGGAAGGTTAAAAACCTACCATAAGCGAAACGAAAAGTCCCCCTGGGAAAAGTTGCATCATATAGCACAATTCACAAAAGATATGAATGTTCTAATAAAGGACATGAATAATCCACAAAAGAAGAAATTAAAATTGCTAGAAAATATGAAAAATGTTTGGAACTATTAGCAATCAAAGAAGTGCAAAATAAAGCAAAAATTTTCCTTTTTTAACTGGCAAAAGTTAAAAAGCTAAAATGTGTAGTGTTGAGGTTTATTGATATATGGGTGTTCTCAACACACGTTTGGGAGAGTGTATGTAGACAGAAATTTTCTGGAAGACAATTGCCTGTGTGAATTAAGAACTTCAACAGTCTTTATATTCTTGTCTCAGTAAATCTACTCTGTAATTGGACTCACAAAGATTTGTACATGTGAATGTTCATGTTGTGGTGTTACAGATTTTTTAAATGGCATTACGAGAGTATGGTTTAAAGAATTGTCATCCATCTACAGACCACTAAAAATGTAAGGCACTCATGAAAGAACTGCAGCGTTTACAAGTTTGGGTGATTGAAAGGTGATGGTACAGGTAACAGCAGCTGTGGAAGAGGCAGACACAGGTGGTAAGGGGTGCATCAGAAGAGGAGTGCCAGGTAGCAAGGAGCCCCTCGCCCACTTCTCAAGTTCTGAAAGCGCCATTGGCTTCCCACAAATACTCGAAATAAATATGTTACATTCTAACAGCAATCCAAAGCTAGACACTTATGCCTTTAGCATTTGCTACAACCCTAACAAATAACATTGTCTAAGAAAGTTGCTAACATCTCATTCAATCCATGTCTATTCCAGGTTTCTTTTTGTTTCTGACTTCTCTGTTGCTACAGTTCTATCTTCAAAGTAAAATGTTAACTAAAATTAAGGGTTAGTACACCTATGTTTATTTCTGAAGCTTTTTCATCCCGGAAATATCTGAGAGCACATCATTGTTTTCTCATGATTTGCAAATCAGAGATGACAGACTGATGCCCAGCAAGTGGGTTACAGGCTGCCTGTGAGATCCCAATCCCCTAAATCCAAAGAACAGCCAGAATGTGGTCTGGAATTTGGAATCCCTGGATTGCTCTTTTGATACCTACCATCTGGACATCACCAGAGGAACCAGAACCAGAGCACAGGGGTCCATCCATCGAGGACAGAGAGCCCAAGATGCTGTGAGAGAGTTTTCCTTTCAGATACCTAAGAATAGATTAGAGTGGCAAGGAGCTGAATGTGTGTGTGTGTGTGTGTGTGTGCACACACATGTGTGGAAACACACATGCAAAGTTCTGGAAGAAATACTACTACAAAGAAAATACAAATCAACAGAATCTGATGTGGACAAAATAACAAATAAATCAAGTATTGTTATAAAATTTATGTAGAAATGAATGGGTACTAACAAAATTAATTCCAATAAAATAAAAACCAAATTGGAAAAAAATGGAAGTAATTGAATTGCCTTTTTTGTTTTGCCTTTTTTCCTTCTGAATTGCCTTTTTAAGAAATTTAAAATATACAAAATTTAAAATGTACAAAATAAATTTAAAAGGAAAATAAATCAAAGAATTAAATTTACTTAATGGTGCTATATCAAGTAAGCACCGTGTTGATACATTTCATGTCTGTTGGTAAAATGAGGGTTGGACTGTTTGTATTCATAAATAAGTCAGAATATCTAGGGAATCAAACTGGGGCCAACAGGGGAGCAGACTGTTCACTCACCACTTAGTGAAACCTGTTAGGTGAGGAAAATGAAGAGTGAAAGGATAATCTCCCTCCCACCCACATGCCCCACCATCTCTGCTAAATCCCTTGTTGCTGGACTTGTCTTCCAATACTTCTCAGGCTGGCTTACAGCGCAAGCATGACTCAGCTCTACCTGCCCTTAAAACAGAGTAGATGTTTGGAGTCCTACTCCCATTTTGCTCTCAGACTCAAGCCCTAAGATCTCCTGACCCAGGACTGCCATTTGCCTGACAAAATGCTACATCCACTCTAAAGAAAAGACAGCTATTTCATACTCACAGAATATTCACAGCATGGCCGCATCCTCTGCCGCCCACTCCCCATCTATGTGTTGTTGGGCAAGTGGGAACAGGAAATGGGATAGATGGATAGAGGTGAGGATATAGAAAGAAGGGGCAAACCACTGGAGATAGTTGGTACCATTTATAATACAAAACAAAATAGAAAAAGAAGAACAGGAGCCAGCCCTGAGACACAGCAGGTTAAAGGTTCGAGTCCCAGCTCTCTGCTAATGTCTTAGGAAAGCAGTGGAAGATGGCCAAGGACTTGGGCCCCTGCACCTACATGGGAGATCTGAAGAAGCTCCTGGCACCTGACTTTAGACTGGCCCAGTCCTGGCCATTGCAATCATTTGGGGAGTGAACAAGTGGATGGAAGCACTCTCTCTCTCTCTCTCTTTCTGTAACACTGACTTGCAAATAAATAAGTAAATATATTAAAAAAAAAAAAAAAAGAAAAAAGAAATGAGGAGCTGGCACTGTGGCCTAGTAGGTTGGGCCTCTGCCTGCAGCACCAGCATCTTGTATGGGTGCCTGTCCAAGTTCCAGCAGCTCTGCTTCCAATTCAGCTCCCTGCTAATGTGCCTGGGAAAACAATGGAAGATGACCCAAGTGCTTGGGCCTTTGCACCCTCGTGGGAGACCCTGAAGAAGCTCCTGGCTCCTGGCTTTGTACAGGCCTAGCTCTGGCTGATGCAGCCACTTGGGGAGTGAACCAATGGATGGAAGACCTCTTTCTTTGTCTCTCCCTCTGACTGTAACCCTACCCCTCAAGGAAATAAATAAAATCTAAAAAAAAAAAAAAAAGGAAAAGAAAATAAGGACAATAGGAACTCTAGATATCTGGATTTTCCAAGTAAAAATATTTGCTTGTAAATATGTTTTATTCATCATGAATTTCTTCTGCCTTCCATATACAAAGTATTCTATTTTACTGAGATTATTATAATGAAAGATCTTTTTAAAACATTTTATTAAATTACAGTAAACATACCAAGAAATGTATATAAGTATACATATAAATGAGCTTTTTTTTTCATCTGATCACACTCATAAACAACACTCAAATGGGGAAAAACTAAGATTTTTTTGAAAAAAAAAATGGGGACTGAAAATGTGGATTATGCAGCAATAATCGCAGCATGTATAGGTATAAAGTTAACGAACTGCATGCTACTGCTTGTGCACAATAAAATAGAAGCAAAGTTTTGCATGTGTCTTCTGTCTGCCCTTTCTTTTTGTGCCATTTTCAGTCATCCAGTATTACTGTTTTCTGAACCCCAGAAGCAGCACAGCACCTGGCCCTTAGAAGGGATCAACAATCATTCAGCAAGTGGATGAACAAACGATGTCCAGAGAACCTGGGCATGCCTGGCGTGCATTGCTTTATTTTTGGCGAGGGTACTGCGAGTTTGTATTGACTCATTCACACTGGTAAACATGGGGTGAGAGCTTCAGATTCAGCTGAGGACAAGGCACCTTACTTCTTGACATCGTTAGGTATCTTTCTTATTTGGAAGACAGTTTGAAAGTGCCGATTAGAGGGTCGTTTTCATAAAGCAAAGTCACTCAAAATGGAGAAGTCTCAATTCAAGGCCTCTTTCTTTTCAAGTCTTACTCAAACGGAAGTGAGTACGAGGTGAACTGCATTAACTTCAAGTGCCTGAAACTTCTTGCAGGAAGCCACATACCATCAATGTGCTGGATGGGCGCACACCGGGGTCACGTAAGTAGACATGACAAAAACAGCCCTCCTTAAATTATCTGTGGCCATCGTGATCACATTCATTTTAACTTTGCCAGAATATTTCAAGACCCCGAAAGGTGAGTATATAATTGCAATGCAGCCCTTCTTTTTCTTTTTTAAATAAGAATTATAGCTAGTGGTTGTAGAAAAGATCTTTCTGGATATGTGTTGCATGGGTTGACATTCTATGTCTGAAAAACTGATACAATGAGACTGTAACTTCAGTTGACTGCTCCTCAGCACAGTGGCTCTATTCATAGTACTAAGTTATTGTGGCCTACATAAAAATGAAAAGGAATACTGAGAACTGGTAGCCTAGATTCCAGTAATCTCATCACATGATTTTGCCCTTTGAAGCACCTTCCTTCAAAACCGTTTCAAGTATGATTTTACATTCTGGAATGATTTAATAAAAAAAGTGATAGTTATGTTGAAAATGCTTGAATTCTCTCCATTACAACATTTCATGCAGACACTTGTTGCTTTTTGAAAAATAAGAGTATCTTGATATTTTCAAAATATAACTAAGATGGGGACTAATTTAAGCAGATATACTTGTGACCAGAGAGAAATGGAACAAAATGAACTGTGTGAACATTTCAGAGAATTTTTATATGACTGATGAAACTTGGATTAGGAAAATCAATAGAGCTAAGTTTAAACTATTTTTATATGCTAGCCAAAGATTTGAAAATGTGTTAAAATTAAGTCTTGGATAATAGTTGTGTTCCTTAGCATTTAATAAGAAGAATTTTTTTTAAAAAAAAGCTGTATTCTATCATTAAATAGCTGTAGATGAATTTTATTGGAATCAGAGAAAAGCTTATATTTGATGATTTGCTGCAATGAATATTTATTGTTACACATTCATGATGGTAAGTAAACAGATAAAAACATGTTTGCTATTTATATTTGATGCTACATTGCAATGATTATTTAACGTTGCATATATTTGCACATGATAGTAAGTAGCCAGATAAAAACATTTTTGCTAAATAATCCCTCTGACTACAATTTTGTGAATAATTAAAAATTTGAAATTTATTTTGTGTTTCTGGTATGAAGTTGCTTAGATTAGGCAATCACAGCATATGTTTTTAATGCTTGATTTCTCCAAGTGAAAATATGTATTTTAAGCCATTGTGGACTGAGAATAAGCTTATTCAATAGTTATCTAAGGTAGATCCTATATATTTATTGAGTGCCTATAAAACATCAGGTTGGATGTAGAGAAAGCCAGGGAAGCTGCCTATGAATGAGCTAAGGAAGTCTTTGCCCACTGCTGGCTAGCGTTTTATGAGAACTGATGACGACAAAAGCATGGGTGCCTTTTTTGGGCAGTCACATTGTTCCCTTGGTCCTTTTTTTAAGGCAAAGCACAGCCTTTGGGGCAGTGGTGAGCACCAAGAAAATAGGTCTTTGGTGGCCCCTTGAATCTGTGGGTGGAAGAAAGAGCTGGTTTAAGATCCACTTTAGGCAAACTTCCTTGGCCTGATAGTAATGTGGGTTTTTCTACATCTTGACGGTAATCAACTGTCATTTCTACTGATGTTTGTTCTCTTGGTTGCATAACTAATTCAGTCAGTTTCCAAGAACTCCCTTTGCTGCCTTCTCAAACATAGCACAGCTGTTTTTCTGTCCTTCCTCTAAGAACAGCACAGTTATTCCTGTGAGCTCTTCTTGGAGAGCTGTATTTATCTGGAAATTTTGTTTCAGAGGAACCCTACTTCAGGCCAACAAAAAGGTGTAAAAATCACCATCTTGGGAAGGTGTTTAGTCCAGTGGTTAAGATGGGTGCATCCCACATTAGAATGCCTGGCTTTGACTCCCAGCTCTGGCTCACAACCTGAGAGGCAGCAAATGATGAGAAATAATTGGGTTCCTAAGTAGGAGACCTGGATTAAGTCCCTGGCTTTTGGCTTTTGCCTAGACTGGGGCCATTGTAAGCATTTATGGAGTGGACCAGCAGATGGGAGCTCTCTTCCTTTCTGTCTCTTTGCTTCTCAAAAAAAAAAAAACAAAAAAACAAACAAACAAAAACAAATAAAACAACACAAACATTGCCTTTTTGTTTTACTGGTAGATTTTGATTTAGTGGTAGAAGGAATTCTGCACAAAGCAAAAAATTGAATATTAGGCAATATGTTTTCCACACACAATGGTGTAATAATAATGTTCTATATTTTATAATAATCTATGGGGCACCTGAAATACATTCATATAGCCTGATTTAATATAGTCACTTATTAAACTCAAGAGAGTTGAATATAATTGTTTTAATTTTTTATTATTTTGTAATCATAGTACTAGCTATAGTTGGCCTGTAAAATTGTCAACCAGTATATTTCATAATAGAAAGTACTGGCAAAATTAATTAGAAGATAAGCTAAGAGTATTCTAGAACTGTAAAAATTAACCTTGAGAGTCGCCATCTAGTCTTACCCTATCAGTTCCTTATGTCTTTTTTTTCATTTTTTAATGTTTTATGCACTTTAATTCATAAGATAAATATTATAAAAAGATTTTTACTTATAAATTATTCACTGATACCCTGTCTTTAACATGTCAAATGAATTCTAAAGGAATCTTAATGAGGAATAATATTTCACAAGGTTTAATAGATTCAATTTCAAAATAATAAATTCTCTGAAGTCCTAAGTTAAAAATAGAGCCCCAAGTTTGATCATTTTTCATCAAGAAAGTATCTGAAGGCCGGCGCCACGGCTCAACAGGCTAATCCTCCGCCTGCAGCACTGGCACACCGGGTTCTAGTCCCGGTTGGGGTGCTGGTTCTGTCCTGGTTGCCCCTCTTCCAGGCCAGCTCTCTGCTGTGGCCTGGGAAGGCAGTGGAGGATGGCCCAAGTGCTTGGGCCCTGCACCCTATGGGAGACCAGGAGAAGCACCTGGCTCCTGGCTTCGGATCAGCGCGGTGCGCCGGCCACAGCGTGCTGCCCTCGGCAGCCATTGGAGGGTGAACCAACGGCAAAAGGAAGACCTTTCTCTCTGTCTCTCTCACTGTCCACTCTGCCTGTCAAAAAAAAAAAAAAAAAGTATCTGAGTCTCTGAATAATCATTAGTAGGAATATTCAATTATCACAATTACACAATGCAAGCTATGTAGTCAAACAGGGAACTTCTTAAACATTGTTTAACCCTTAGTAGGTTTGCATTGGGGGTGCACTGGCCAGACAGCCTACTCTCCAGCACTGTTTCTAACCTTCAGTTATCTGAAAGTAGCTGAGATATGACGGTTGGATATACTTGTATTGTATATTGATAACGGAGCTACAACAGGGAATGGACTGGCTATAGTCATTTGGCAATTAAGGGACAAGGTTGCTGCCAAAGAAGAGACTTCACCAGCCTGCTTTGGCTGGACCTACAGTGTGTTAGAGAGAGACTTGGTTAACCCTCACAGAAATCTAGTGAACTTTTATTTACTAAAATCAAGCTAGGGCAGGGGCTCCAAAAGCCCAGCCAACTTCAAGGGCTTTTCACTCAAGGGGAGGACTGGCCCACACAGGCATACCTACATACTGCAATTACTAAAATAGGCACAGAAAAAGCATGTGTTGGGCACATCTTGAGGGGATGGCCCTTCTCTATTTGCCGAGTCATAACTCCAGAGTTCCAAACATCACCTAAGCTTCTTCCTGATCTGGTTGCCCAGCACTCTAAGACAAGTAATGATCATTATTACTAACTTTCAAGGAAAATGTTCTCATACCAATATCCCAAAAATTCCTAAAACCGGAGCAGTGAGCCATACAACGCATTATGATGAACGTGTGATGTTTTGTGGTGAGATGGGACAGGAATGGTGCAGAGGGAGACACTTCACATCTGAGTTTATCCGGCGGTTGGGACTTCCTCACTTTCAAGAACCCAACTCCTGTTACAGGTGCTTACTGGTTTACACTTCCCTGCCAGTTCACACTTTCTGGTAGAAATGGTAGTGCATGGAACAGTAACACTGAAGAAAACAGAGGATGAAAGAATTTTAAATACTTACAAACTATGGGACAAACCCCGAAATATATGAGCATGTATTTGGGTCTAGCATAAAGGCTAGCATATCTAGGATGACTGCAACTAATATCTTGAACGTGTTTGCAAGCTCTCAAAAATGAGCACTTTATTTTCTTCTTATTTATGCTCCATAAAAATATAATCAGTAATAAGCTTTGGGATACAGCCTTATGACTACTTAAGCAATTTTTAAAATGTTAACGAGTTCCTATTTACATGTACCAGGAGTCAGTTACTATGCCCTGTGCTTTTCTACCAGATAATTCATTTTAATGCATTAAATGTCTCAAGTCACTCAGGATGAAGCAGGTTTCTTAAGATAGAATATTCTGGAAATATTCAGAAAGAGGGAATGAAACTAGATGGGTGAATTTTCTTGTCATTAGACTTCTCACTAAATGTCTAAGTCATTATAGCTTTAAAGTTGCTACTAATAGATTCTATTGTTATATATACAATTTGGCTAGTATGTGATGGTAAAAAATGATTTTTTTAAATGATTTTTATTTTGCTTTGGCATAACTAGTGTTACTTGCTCATCAATAGTTGGTGATACTGACAATCCTTGTTTAGGATACTTTCTAACTGTCTTATGTTTTGGTGAATAAATGCTCTCTCCGTATCGTTCTGTTCTTACAACAATGACTGTCTTTTAAACAATATGGTGTCTGCAGTTCTATACCCTGTCTCTTATATGTTTTCCAACAGATACACTTTAATTATGTACATTTTTTCTTGCTTGTCTTCTGCAAACAGAAAGTAAACTCGATAAGACGAGAATTTGGGGGTTAGTTTTGTTCATTGATGTATTTCAAGCAGATAGGACAGCACCTGTCATATTGGAAGATACTCAGATGATTAAGCAAATTTTCTGGGTCCTTTTGTTAAAGAAATAAAAAAAATCTTCTTGAAGGAAGTTTTTCTTTCTGAAGTTCATAATCATCTTGTGATTGAAGCTAGCCAGGTATTATCTTCATATCACAGTTTTTGAAAGATAAAATTTTATCACAAGATTTAGAATTTTTAGGTTGTGCCAGCCAGTGAAAGT